CAGTAGTACATATTTCCATCTATATAAACTTGTTTCCTTGATTACGCTTTATGGTATCAAGCAGATCACATGCATTTTGATCTGAATAATTTTGGCTTTCAAATTAAACTGTGGTGAGATTCCACCTCAGACTGTGTAACTTAAAAATTATTTGCAAATTGAAAATTTGATTTATGATCCACCTTCAATTCTTCAAGCAGAAGCGACGAAGATGGAAAGTGCAACAGAAAACAAATTTGCAAAACCATCAGTATTTGGTATTCAGTTTTTTTTCTGACGTTCCAATTATAAGGGCAATACACTGTCCGATGAAACTTTGTAAGTGATTAACATTAGAGCCCTTAAATTGTAAGACCGCTAACCAAATTGTTTTGAGCTTTTCAGTGCCTGTTAATACACAAGTTAGTCTTTCTAGTATTTATACATATCAAACAACCAGCTTCTTATTTTTATCCTGTATTTCAATAGTACCTTATTTTAACAAAAAGCTGATCGAGTAGTAATTTTCTTGGGTTCAGATAATCCTTCCGATGATTCAGTTATCCTGTGAGACTACACGTTATATCATATGATGCAGTTCGATCCAATGTTTGCGAAATAAACAATTTTTCCATTGCAAAGTCTCTTTTGTGTATACTGTATAGTTTCTCAGTGATTCTATACTGTGGTCTATTTATCTTATTGCTACACACATTAACTTATGTGACTGCTTTAGTATGTTTCGTATCTAGGTTGGATCGCCTCTCATTATTCTGAAGATTTGGAACTTATAGTATTAAGCACAGAGAATAAAATACGAACTTTAAAAGCTAATGTCAAGTCAGTGCGCGTACATGATTCAGAGACATACAGAATCATGCAAAGCACATTCAACATCCATATGCAAACTTCTATCAATATCTACCATCGTTCGATGCTACAAATCAGATGACCAGTCGGAGAGGATAAGGAACAAAGGATTTCGGCAGTCAACGAGCCAGCCAAGAACCTGTAGTCCAACCAACATGTAGAAGCAAATGGAGACGGATTGGACATACACTGAGGAGATCATTCAGTGAATTAACATGCCAGACAGCCCTCAAGTGCAGCCCAAATGCGTCGAGCATCCATATTTGACGTAAAAGGGATCATATGTGGTGGAAATCAGCTTGTAGGCAATTGTTGAGCAAGTTTAAAGTGGTAACAGAGAACCAAATGAAATCGCCATGTGGTGCTGAAGCCTAGTTTCATCCGGAATGAAGATTGCTCCACATGACAACAATACATCAGCTTTTTTAGGAATTCATATTTCCCACTTCTAGTTCCATAAGTCTATTCCTCATATTACGAGCTCCCCTACTATATGTAACAGTAAGCTTGGCCTTATGAAACAATATAAGGAAGATTTCGTAATCAATTGCAGTGGAAAAGACAAATAGTCTCCAGCATGCTGCTACCCCATTCAACTGCGTAAGACTATAGTTGAACTAGAATCTAGACAAAACTATCCATATACACCTCGACTGACTAGCAGCCACTCAGTGAAGACCAAGAACCCACTAGCCCTGAAATAAATATTCATTACTTACCTAGACTCTACACTCTTGCAGCCAGCGATATTACAAACTACTTCGACATACCAAGAATAATGAAACGCGGACAGGTTGTGATTATAATACGGTAATCAAATGCTAAATAAATCTGACATCTCGGAGTAATTACATGCGTTAGACAACCAGTAAGCTCATTATTGTGATGATGAACATCTACTGATACCAATTAAGAAAATTTTGAGAGTAAAACGGATGACCTCTAATGTCAGTCCTTCTCATTATTGTTAACTGAAATGTAGTGACCAGTCCTCATAATAAAGTCAACTGATAAACGCTAAAAAAACTGTCTTCTGACATATTTTATATTGCGTCACATACTTGAGTGCTGTTAACACCTGTTGGTTTGAACAGTACATAAAATCAGTGACCACGCATAGTCTAAATTCAGCCAAATTATGACAATGCCCATATAAGCAAAACTCTTTTAAAGGTAACAATATGAAGACGGATGCTTTGAACCAGATGTCCGTGAGAAGCAAATATATTCAATTTTATTTCACCAAATCCCATTCATGGAAAAAATGATCTTTGAATAAAGAAGGATGGCTAATTTACTGGAAGCTTTTTTCCTCGAACATGATAAGACTATTTGGTCAAGGAAAATTGTCAGTTTCCTTTTACTTCAATTACTAATGCTCAACAACGAAACTTTAAAACAAACACTTTATTCTTCCACACCAAAAACTTACTGAGGAACACTAAATAAACGGCCCTTATTGTTTTTTCTTCCATTATTTTAATATTTCCCCTTAATTTTGTGCTCATATTCTTACTTGACAATATCATCAATGTAAATGCCCTATTTATTTATTGCCCCTGTACTATTAAACGAGAGAATTAGATGCAATATTGTATACATGCTAAAAGTTGTACATTGGTATCAAAAGTACTGTTTGAAATAAATCAGTCATTATCATTCCTTACAACAGCTTTGTGACTCTGCATTTAGACTGCATGATACTCTAATAAGAGAAATGAAACAAGATCACGTAAACTGGTTGGCATTTGCCAGACGATAACAGCAGCAATCTATGCATTCCACAGCGGCATTTTGTCCCACTAGTCGTGAAGTGTTGTAGTAGTGTTTGTGCATATAGCAAGTTGACTAGTGACAGGTTAAATAAACAGAGATCCTAAACTACCAAGTTATGAGGTACACTTATGATGTGAGCACTAATGATATTACCGAACTGGTAGTCAGAACAGGATTCGAACTCTGGACCTACTGGATAATTCTCAAGTGCATAGCCGATGTTGACAAGTTATGCTTAATGAATAAGACTCACGCCTACACAGTCAAGTCTGTCTGTCTGTCTGTTTTCGACATAGAACTTTGCACAAATGTGAGGAAGTTTAAGTCGCCACACTCCGTGTAGCACGCGAAGCAAGAGAAGAAAGTACAAGAAAAGCATAATAGAAACAGTGAGCAGAGGGGTGAGACAAAGGAGTAATAAACAAAAACAAAACAGTTTCATCGGAGACCATAAGTCACAAGGAGTGGATGCATCTGCGCTAGCCACTGAGAACGATTTTGAGCCATGTCACCAATTGTTTCCAACCATAGATTTTTACCGTCCCGAGGACCCCAGCCTGGAAGTCTACACCTTTCTACGTGGCTTAGACCAACTGTTATGGATTTCACTGACTGATGCCAAGTTTTTGTTTGACCACCGCTAGCTTTTTTCCAGCCTGACCCTATATCCGCTAACATTGCTCGTCGAGGGAGGCGATGGCTTGGCATACGTAACACAAGTCCTAACCATCTCAGTCTTTGTAACTTCACGACTTCGTCGATTGATTTCCCCTGCCTACCTAGAACTCTACGCCTAACCTCAATGTTGCTCACCTTATTATGCCACTTTACACGGGAAATAGAGCGCAGGCACCTATGATCAAAGACAGCTAGTCTTTTCATGTCTTCCACTTTCAGTGGCCAGGTCTCACAACCATAAAGGAGGACACAGTCAAGTAGCAGGCTACGCAGAGTTCCCAACAGAAGTGACTACAATTAGAAGTGTCCTCCAAAGATACATAGCAGTTCCACTCAATTTCATTACAAATGTACTGAAAGGTTGTATTGGCTACGAATTCTGGGAGAAAAGCTGAGGACATTTTACCTTCAGATGAAGTCCCTTAAACAAAGTAGTCCCATTAGGGCTTTGAGGACAATGACGTTCGATTGATATACACTGCATTACTGTCATATGTGGTATGATGCTACAGAGGTTTTCAAAACCCTTAATTTTTGTAAGCGGTAAGGTGTCGAATATGGTGACCACTGATTCTGGAGGTTGTATGAGCTCTAATAATGGTTGCTGAGTTGGCTCTTTTAGCACATCTGACATCAGCATGATAACCAGCGATGTGCCGGACAGTATGTCATAAAGCAATTTCCTAACTCTATGACTGCTAGACAAAAGCTAGAAGTCGGCGTGCAGAAACTACATGTTTTGCCCATACATGCATTTTTTGCGTTCGCCCACTGTAGGTTGAATCACAAGGTGTCCAATGGACTTCGAAGTACAATTTCTAACAATATCTTCTGACAAGCTTTTCGCAAAATAGGTGCGATTTTCAAAACTTGACTGATCTTACCGACGTATTAAAAAACCACTCTTAAAACATACAATAACCAGAATAAAAACATTAGTCTATCCAGAAAAATTACAATGAAGAACGTATTCATTGCTGTAATAATTGCTCTCAAGTCATCATACTCAATAAAAAAGTTAAATACTTATTCCAACAATGTCGCTCTTAGCTGTTACGTAACCTGAAAGTTCAATCAATCTTTGTGGAAGCCTGTAACAAAATTAAGAGATCGGGAAGTTAGTTAATACTGTTAGAGATGTGTACATGATGTGAGAATGAAATTAACAGCACTCAATTTACAGGAAATATTAGTAAATACGTACACTACCACAACTCAGATTTTGAAAAATTCCGTCAATCAAGTTTTAGGTTTACTAATATTTATACACATCCCTAATTTGCTACTACCTTAACTTATTGCTATATGATAAAATCATCATTGTAACATATGAAATGCAATTTATTCGACTGCAGACATTGCCTACAGATATAATTTATAGCAAACTTACTCCCGATAAATATATCACAAATGCGACGTAATAAAAATTTAACATTGTGCTTCGCAAAGACATGGACTGAAAGATGTTTGATTCAAATGCAAAGTATATTATCACGTGGACTAGTGAAAGAACAAAGGAAGTCAAAAAAAATTCCGCCGGGTAATAATGTACAAGGGAGAAAAAACACAAGTGTCAAACTAGTGAACTCCAAGAACATCTGAGAACAAGGTATGATAGAGATGTTGGGTAGTGTTACCATTTATTTGAACAGCTTTTCGCAGGGAAAGTTTAGCACGCACTCAACAAAAATGCTGTCTTATTTTTTCCCTTTTCGTTTGTTCTTTTTTCCTTGGAAATTCTGATCTGTCGTGTTAGAACCGGATGTTTGTGGTCTTTTCGATCTAATGACAGGAATAACCTTCCCTAAATATAGAAGAAGAGCCTGACGGTTTGGAAACCTGAAATCTAATTAATAGCAGTTAATCTTACTGTTCATTAATAGGAGTTCCATCATCATTCTTCAAATGTACTCGAACACGCCACTTATTCATGGGTTCAAATGCGTCCCTTTCCCTTGGATGAACCTGAAGCATAAGAATTTACAGATTTAAGAGGGCAACTTTGGTTTCCAGTAGGTGGTCAAGCGACAGTTTTCCTAAAATCATAGTTACTTCTGAGTGTTTGGGATTGTCTACACATTGTTCAACTGAAAGTTTTCTCCCCTGAGCTCTAGTCCGGCGGTTATTAAGATAGGCAGGATAAATACAGATCCATCTCTCTTTAGCGGAATGAGGTAAGTTAGGGCTAAATGGGGAAAGCAGAGGCCTTTCCATCCCAAAATAAAACGTCACCGCGACCTTGATCACAAAATACGCTCTGCTCGATGCATGCTAACAAACAAAAATATTTTTAGATTTAAATTTAATGACCAGGAATACTAGACATAAAGACTACGTTAATTTTTTCCTAACAAGTTTCTGTGTTTGTCCAATCCCTTTATAAATGAGTCAACAGAGTATACTAGCAATTCTTCTGGAAGTCGGTTCCAGGAGTTTAGTACTCTACATGAGACCCTGTACTTCACAGCGATATAGTCACTCCATAGCCTTGAAATTCCCCTGCTATGTTCCAACATAATAGTAAGAAAAAGAAGAAGATAGATTGGGTGCATAATCATTCATTAAGATTTTAAACATTTAAATAGATCTCGCTGCAGAAGGTACTACAAGAACATATTCAAATTAGTTGACATTCACCGTAAGAAAATATAGCGGTAAATAATTCCCCAAAATTATTGACCACAGCAATCACTCATTGGATGCTGACCACCACTGTTTAAGTCAACTTGTTTAGCTGAAGGCTTCCGGTCAAGCATCCCTGCCATTTTGGTGCCCCGTCGTGTCACGTGCACGATCACTAGCTATCTGAGCGTTCGTTTGAAGGCTTGTTTTGGTCCCGAAATATATCACTTAGTTTGGACGATCAATTATTGGCTTTTGCTTTGTTTTCGGTACGCGAGAATAATTTAGAGGCTGTGTAAGATAATTCCGTCAAACCCCTATAATAAATTGGTCATCTCGAGATTCATGTGTGTCTCTTGCCCTAGAACTCTTTCTAGAATTCATAAATCACCCCTGGTTTCAGTTTTTTTCCCTTAAGCCAAGAAAAAAGCATATGAAGAAGTTATCCTTTCTCCGGCGAATCTAGTAAGCGTCCTACGTTTCGCCCATTACTATCCAAGACTCTGAGCTTCTGCCGCACAACAGTGTTACGTAGTTATGGTGTTGCCTCTTTCTGTGGTTGCTGAGGCAAATAATTCCCTAAGTTTATTACCACTCAGCATTCATAACTCAACATCGAATGTTGACAAATACAATTTTTTACAAATGTTGATCTCGTTTTTCAAAGTGACTGGAGGTTCACGATCAACTAGCCACATCATTTGGCACGCTGCCATGTTGCGCTCATTTGTGCATGTCTCCTAGTTCGATAAGCAGTCTTCCTCGCATTAAGATTTTGACTCCGAAATATATATTTGGTATTTCGGGTGATCAATTTAGTGCTTTAATTTGTCTTCGGTCTAAGCTGAACAAGTACTGTAGGAGTTGGAGGACAAGGACATGTGTATGTGTCAATGGAGTTGAAGATTGAACGATTAATTCATTAACGGTTTATGAGATGTGATTGACAGTTTCTGACGATGGAAACAGATCTGGCGGATTGAAACAGTTGGTGAAAGTTTGGATAGTCGCCGTTCATTTTTCCTGGTGCCGGTCAAGTCCTCTTTGAACAAGCAATATCTGGAACTTTTTGGAATTGGGTCAAGTTCAACAATGCCTGGGTCAAAGAAGGGACAGAGTGTCTTGGATGCAAACAGGAAAGTAAGTCATGGTGACTTGTCTGTTAATTGTAACGATGTGTCTGATGTTAAGTATGACATGGTTGATGTTACTGTTTCGCCGTTCAGGGATAATAGGAACATCAAACTCCCTAAATTTGAACCACGGTGTTTTGATGGAAACCCGGCTGATTATTTACAATTTGTAAAGGAGTTTGAGATCATGTTGAGTGGTTTTTTATTAAATGATGAATTGAAGTTAATGTATTTGATGAGATATTGCACTGGAGATGCTGCAAGAGCTATACAGTGTTGTAAGTTTATGAAGCCAAAAGAGGGCTACTACGAGGCTATGAGCATATTACGTCAAAGGTTTGGAAGACCTTCGATGATTGCAGGGAAATTATTCGAGGCTGTTAAGGGTAATGGTGGTCAATTACAGGATGACTCCCAGGCACTCACTGAGTTTTTAGATAATTTGCTAATTTACAAGAATGGAATGATTTCGATGAATCGAATGAGTGACCTCAACTCGAGTTTTATACTAGAAGTAATAGCAAGACGTCTACCTACTCGACTGCAAAGGAAGTGGGTGAAGATGAGCTCCCGTATGGAGGATGAGGGTATCGAGCCAAAGTTTGATGATATCCTGAAACTGGTAAATACTAGTGTCAATCAATCTATGAGCAAGTTCGCCAGTCTATTACATCTCACCCCTAGAATAGAGCAGTCTGAGATCAAAATGCAATCATTGATGACGAGTAGGCCTCAGAGAGGTGGATATCGAGAAGGCTCCATGATGTCTAGTAATGCATATAGACCTAGTGAGTGTAACAGGTTTCGTAGTACATCCTCAACAGATAGGTTACAAGATGCAAGACAAACACGGTTGTGGTTTACACGTGTGCAAGAGGTGCATACAGAAGTGAACTGTGAACCGGTGAGCAAGTTCAGTGATAAGCTAAATGTAAACTCCAGACCTGACTCCGAATTGTGTGACGATAACGGTGCTGTGAAGAAGTCTGTAGTTGCAACTGGTAAGCCATTGTTGAATAGAGTGTCACAGAATAGAGTTACTGCTTCAGAGTGCAGTTCTGACCCTACAAGTTTACAAGGTATTACTAGTCAGAGTGAAGATATAAAACCTTTAATGATTTGTGAGGAGGAACCAAAATTGTCTACTTCTGTTATTAAAGAGTTTGAAAATGATGAACTTGACGGTAAATTGAATATTTGTGGTAATGATCATGATAGTGCACATTTGTCTTTGGTTGATCATGATGAGATGAGGGATATGCCTACTACTGCTAAGTTAAATAAAGGTTCTGTACAACTACAACGTGAAGTAGAATTGAACGCAGATGCAGTTCCAGAAGGTGTGCATACTTGTGAGACAGTCAGTGTAATTGATCAGCGTGTAGCCCACCTATCATCAGATGATAGTGCTAAACCCGAACTAGTAGTGAAAGACAGCAGTGGTGGTAATCTTGCAGTTGGACAACTATCTGAGAGCCGAACAAGAACAGCTTCTGATCCACCACTAAGTTCATCACCTTGTGTCACTCAGTCATCGTTGGTGCTGTCATCCACAATGAAACAGACACCCATCAACTCAAGTATCTTGTGCAATGACTATGGTAGTATCAGTTCGTTTGAAAGGACGAATATCAATGGTCAGTTTAGTGTGGATAAGCCAAGTGTAAAGGAGAGAGTTATTGTTAAATTGACTTGCACGAATAAAGGCATTTCTAGTTTCAAGTTACTATTTGAATGTTATTATCTTTGGTGTAAATTACTCTGTTTCTATACTTGGTTGATGAGATATGTCGTGTGTTTGTTGGTCATCTATATTCTACGATACAATGACATGGGCGTGTTGCCGTTCAGATTTGAGGATATAGCTGATAGAAGGAAGTTAGCAAATGAACTCTGCGACGATTTTCCAACCTAGGGCGTCAACCTGAGAAGGGTTGTAGGCGTACTGGTGTAAGTCCTACAGTTCTTCAAAGGGTAGCGCATCAATGAGCAGTCCAATGTGCTTGGTGTATGATCTTGTACATATGTTCATATTGTATATACTGAATTGATATCATCTGTCATCTAGCTGTTGGTAATTCTGTTTGTGTCCGGACGACTTCCACTTGGATCATCAACCTGAGAAGGAATGTAGGCGTACTGCTGTAAGTCCTACGGTTCTTCAAGGGTAGTTTGTCGTGTCAGAATCCACAACATTTGATGTGTTGATTGTACATATGTTTGTGTTAAATAGTTGTGTGAGTTCCAATTGATGTAATTGTTGGTTAATCTTGTTTGTGTCTGGACATTCCACAACTTACAATCGTCAACCTGTGAAGGGTTGCAGGCGTACTGGTGTAAGTCCTCCAATTCTTCAAAATAATTCCACCAAGACATGATCCGCGAGGTTATTTGTACTGTTTGTGTATACGTGTGGTGTGTCTTCGCAATTTGTGATTTTGGATCAGTTGTGTTTACTCGTTGTTTTCGTGCCTTGTTTTTATTGCATAATTTTGTTAAAATTTTCGTCGTGATTACTTCTGAAGTTGTTTCGAGTCTTCTACATCCATGAATGAATTGATTGATGTTAGAGACAGCAGATGGGTCGTATACGCCGGGGAGGCTAGGCTATTGCTGAGAATGAAACGCACACGGAGATAATTGTTAGCTGCGGTCCGACACGCCGGGGAGAAAGAGTGTAAACGACTGAGGCTCGCATGCGTCACCGCTACTAGAACTGAGGCAGAATGAGTGACAAGCGATTTCAATGGTAATTGGTAGTGAGTAATTAAGAGGATGTGCGTAGAGTATCGTGAGGTCCTGCCATGGTCACTTTGCATTCTGCAAGAGTCATTCTAGCAAATGGCGATTGTGTTGCAAGATGTCAAGAGGAGGTCTCTGTCTGGACGCGCAGGTCGTCATTGATGTGTGAGATTGTGCTGTGGGTATGCTTGTGGTGTGTTGGCTTTTCTGTTTGTTTTCCATTTCAGCTCTGTCCGTGTGACCCAGGTTCTCGCAATGGCATCCAAGTCAACGTGCATTGGTCGTGAAGGAAAAAAGGGTTGGATCCCTTTTTTGCCGGGGAGTGTCAATGGAGTTGAAGATTGAACGATCAATTCTTGGTTGTTTGCTCAAAATCAACTTCCCCAATTTTCGCGGAGGCATCAATACGACAGTCATCGTCTCATCGGTCGCTGTTCAGAAAGAAGAGTGAAACATCGTCAGAAGTAATACAGAGAT